AGGGGTTGGGGCTTAGGGGTTTGGGGTTTAGAGGACGCGAATCCATACACCCTGAAGGCCCTGACTGCCAAAGCCCGAGAGCCGATGCTCCTGAAGCCTTTCTAACCTAAGCCCCCCTAAACCCTAGCCCGGACCCCAGGTCCTAAACAGCACTACCTGTAGCCTGTATGTGGCTTATAGGGTTAGGGTTTAGGCTGTACCATGCTTTGATGTAGGAATGTAGGTATGATATGAACGAAATTCAGTATGGGCCCTACATGAACAGATCCGAAAAGAGGGTTTCTTTTATAATAACAAATCTTTTAGCAAAGCGCTGTAGGCCTATAAACGCATGAAGATCTGCATGAAGCAGCTGTAGTAGATCCCGCTAAGACCACAAGCAACCATGTACAAGTCTAAAGCAACAGAGCATCCTACAACATCGTCTTGCTAACAGTTCCGCGGGAAGCACACACCCACTGTCACCTAGGCCTCGAACCCCAACTCCTCTAATAGCCCTAAACCCCTAAACCCTAAACCCCTAAAGCCCTAAAGCCCTAAACCCTAAACCCTAATCCCGTAAGCCCTAAGCCCTAAACCCCTAAAGCCCTAAACCCTAGACCCCCCGAAAATTTCCCGACGGAGCTGAAAGGAGCCCGATGGCACCGAGGTGGTTGCTGCGGCTATCAAAACAGAGGCCCCATCTTCCCAGGGACCCTGGGGTGTAGGGGTTTGGGATTTAGGGTTTTGGGTTTAGGGTTTAGGGGTTTGGGATTTAGGGGTTTGGGGTGTAGGGTTTGGGGTTTAGGGTTTAGTCTACGGTGTAGGGTTTGGGGGTGTAGGGTTTAGTCTAGCGTGTAGGGGTTTGGGGTGTAGGGTTTGGGATTTAGGGTTTGGGGTGTAGGGTTTGGGATTTAGGGTTTGGGGTGTAGGGGTTTGGGGTGTAGGGTTTGGGATTTAGGGTTCAGGGTCTAGGGTGTAGGGTTTGGGGTTTAGGGTTCAGGGTCGAGGGTGTAGGGTTTGGGGTTTAGGGTTCAGGGTTGAAGGTGTAGGGTTTGGGGTTTAGGGTTCAGGGTGTAGGGTTTGGGGTGTAGGGTTCAGGGTTTAGGGTGTAGGGGTTTGGGGTGTAGGGTTTAGGGTCTAGAATACCAGGGTTGCAAGAGCCTGTCATATCTTAGGATGTCCTTGAGTAAGCCTCTCACCAATCCCTCGTCCTTCGGCCTTGGTCGATTAGTGTGAGCCATCTTTACTCAGCAGCTGTTGAATGCTTTGACCGTACTCACCACTGCCTTTTCCATAATTCTGCTTCGAGTTCATGCCCTCCTTGCGGCGTCTGGCGACAACGCACAGCCCACTACAAGCTTTGCCATCCGGATCGGCTAAGTTGCCCTAAACCTTTTACTCTAAACCCTAAACCCTTAGCCGAACCTTTAGAGGAACCCACAAACCGCCTGAGGAAGCCTCGCAAGATGTCGTCCTTCAGATGGAAGTTGCATCCGTTGCCATCCCTGCACCTTTGGAGCAAAGAGTGTAGGGTTGAGGGTTCAGGGTTTTCAAAGCTCTTCGGCTCAGGGTTTGGGGTTTAGGGTTTAGGGTTTGGGGCTTAGGGGTTTCGCGGTTGGGATTTTGGGCTTATGTCTCGGGGCATATACACGTGCATATGTATAGTATATAGTATAATACAGTATACTTGTCTATTTTTGGGTTCGTTGACATACACAGACACACATTGTCTGTGTACATATGTGCATGTGTATGTCGAAATGTATATGTATGTGCATATGCCATATGTACAATATGTACAACACATACACGATGTAAGACTTGCATAGTAAGCATAGTATGTATAAAATTTACAATGTGCATGTGCGCATAATGTACTCGCACAGCGCCGGCAGGAGCTGGGTTTGGAGTTCACGGATGGTGCTTTGGTCATTGCGGATGATGCAGCCGTGCACAGGGACGAAAAGTATGCAACCCTCCGGAAGCTATGGGAGGAGGAGAACAACTGCATACTCCTCGGCTGCGATCGGCAGCACCCTGTACAAGTGCCTGGTGGATTTGGTGCAGCCGGCGCAGCAAACGACCAGTGGCACAACGCATGGCGGCTCCTGCGCCGAGCCTGGCTGCGAAAGGCCTTGGGGAGACGAACAACCGGTACGGCCGCACCATGGCCGAGTTCAAACGCACTGCCCCCTCATCATGGTGTCTTTACAGGCGGACGTCTATGCCCGGCAGTGCCTGCGGCAGCACCGCTCGGGCAACATCATTATGGCAGCTTGGCACCGCCTTGGGTACATTGATGTGGAGGAGCTCGCCAAGCGCAAGTTGGGTGGCGACCTTGATCAGCTTGATGCCGCCCTTTCACATGTACCCCACTCCATGGCCACCCTGTTGAATTTGGACGCACTGCCAGACTTAGGGTTGGTGCCAGCTGCGGAGGAGCTGGACAACAGCAAAGTCTTGGATGCGCTGATCGGTTGCAAACATGTTTGGTGGTTTCATGACGAGGAGGACCTCTGCCGCCCACTCCCGGCTTGGTTGAACAAAGGTTTCACACCTTCACAACAAAAACGCTTCGACACATGGACCACCCAATCATCACGGACCATATGGGTGCAGCCGACTCGGTGCACGGCAACCTTGCAAAGCGGCAAAGATGGTGGCAAACTGCTGACCATTCATCTGTCCAGGGACCCAAATGAGCTCTTCGTGCAGCTCGGTCAGGACCGGAAACCGCTGTTCGTGCGGCAGTACCTGAGGGGGAAGAGTGGCCGCAAGCGCTGGACATGCCGCAAAGCTTGCTGCAGGATGCACCCAGTGACGTCGTGCCGGCAACGGTGGAGGCGGAACCAGCTGAGCTCCATGGTGAGGAGATCTTCATGGAGGGTGATGAGGTTGCTCCCGGCGAGCAGCCCCAGGCTGCGTGGGACTGCGTCTGGGTGACGGCCAGCAAACATGAATAAAAGGAAAGTTTTGTATTATAAGACGTCAATGGAGAGACTCTTTCAAATTTGATGAATTGGCAGTTTGCCATTTACATGGGCCCTCCAGACTCCTGCTTTTGGAACTGAACTGGAGCAGCGTACGCGGACCCCTGCGGTGTCAGCAGCGAAACGATACAACACGGGGAGTCCCCAGCCGGACAGGAGGTTCTTCAGAGGCTACCGAAACTAGTCCATTTTTTCATGCGACACTAATACAACAATTCAATTTTGGGTTCCTGTTTGGAGAGCCCCAGATCGGTGGCCAAAACACAGCGGTGTCGTTGGTAATCCGTTGAAACCAAAGAAAATCACAAGAAATTCTGGAACCAACTTTTCTCAGGGCCTGCAGTACAAAAGCAAGTTGGGGGCAATGGGTCACACGTAGACACACGATAAGGTTTTTCTGAATTTGCAGGTATGTTCCACATATTGCTCCCTGAACGTGCAGCACTCCGTGAGCCTGTGTTCTACTGCTGCGTGACGTCGGTCTGCAAAAATGATGGCACGTGTGGCTATGACATAGGAACAGGATGTGATGAGTCGAAATTGAAATGGCTGGTGCATGCCTCATCCTGCTCCCTAAACGTCAACGCTCGGTACGCGCATTTTGTGCAGATGGGAGGGCACACAAAGCAGGAGCCGTGGACGCTGGGAGCTGCGCGAGGAAAGAAAACCCAACCATCACGAGAAGCTAAGCTCTGCTCGCTACTACGTGTCTCCTGCGGACGGGTGGAGAACCTGATGGGACGGCAATGGTGCAGAAACAGCATAAGTCACGCATCATAGTGGCTGATGCAGTCGTCGCTTTGGCTGGAGATAAAAAGAGTGCCATACTAACACTTATCTTCGAAGCACTTCAGGGACTGCAACATTGTTGTTTTGTAGTAGCGTGTTATTAAGAAGGCCTTGACGTTGGTTAACGTCGTCATTTCCTGTCCGGCAAGCACGCCTGACAAGTCTACGTTCGGTACACGGCTGCCTTGATCACGAAAACTGCGAGCACCACCTCCCCAGCATGGACTGCGGAATCGTCCTTCTATATCACCGTGCGATACAGAAATCACTGGTTTTGCAACGAGCCCCGTTTTGTGCGTGAATAGGTCTTCGACACCAGGAGTATCGTCGCGGGTGGCACCCGCTGTACATTTTTTCTCAGGATTTGATTAATTAGGATGTTTTGGGCACATAACATTTGCCCAACACTGCGTGCCTTTTTCCTTTCCGAAAATATTCACCTGGGGCACATATCACTTGCCCAACATATAATATACTCTTTATGAGAAAAAAGCACGTCATTGATCCCTCGGTGCAAGCGCCTCAGCCCTGCAGAGTGCAGGGTATAGGGTTTAAGGTGTAGTTTAAGGTTTAGGGTTTAGGATCTAAGTTTTTCTGCATCGCACATTCCGCCACCGTCGTTTTGGTTTGGAGTTTGGGGGCAGGCTCGGGGAGACTGTGGCCAAAACACATGACAAAACCCCTTTTTTCGTGTCAGCGAACCCTATGTTTCCTGTTGGCCAACTTGTTTCGTGAACATGAGACACTCTTTATGCTTCGGCGCGACCAAATCCCACCCGCAACAAGCGCAAAGGAATCCCTACAGCGCGTGCGAAGTCCCTGCAAACCCCCAAAACAGCATGCCAAGAACCCACGAGGACACTGCCAGGCTGTTTACCCCCCTACCAGAGAGGCGCACAGCAGATCCCCCAAGTCCTGGTGGGATTCAGGAAAGTTCGGGGTGGGGCTGCAATGCTTTCGTAATCCATTTCCCCAAAAACTGGCGGGATCCACTGGGATGCACAACATGCCTTCCTCCGACTGGTGCCACATGCAGAACCACGGCCAACATGCTGTACCCCGACTACTTGCGGGGGTCAGAAACAGGCGGGGGCACGGCGGGATTACTTTCCTGTAATTACAAGACAATGGGCCAACCCACCGTACAGCCACATTCATTCAGAACTACGCCCGCCATGCTTTGCCGCAAGAACTGCCGGGATTCGAATGCAATCGACGGCATGGTGGAATCGCTTTTTCATCAAGTACTGGCGTCTCCAGCAGAAGCCGTAAGCATTTTTTCACCCGAGTACTGCCTGTAATAATCGCTTTCCCCCAAGTACTGGCGTCTCCATGTCGCACCATCAAACTTTTTTCCACCGAGCAAAAGCACAAGCTTAACCGATCAAGTCTAAATGGCGGAAAGCTTTGCCCCAAGCAAAGCCAGGATTCAGAAACAATCGAAGGCACGGTGGAATTGCTTTCCCCAAGTACTGGCGTCTCCAGGACGCACCTGAAAGTACTTTCCCCCAAGTACTGGCAGAAATACGACTGACCCAGCCCAACGGCGGATCCGGGGATGCGGGGGTGCGGGGTTGCCCTTCCCGGGATGCGAGGTTGTACGGTGCTGCCGGGCTAAAAGTGCAGTGCCTGCCAAGCAAAAAGAACAGTTGGAAGATCGCACTAAGAGGTTTCGGTAAGCGCCTGCCTTTGAACGAGCTCCCGCAACAACGGGAAGGTAGGCCTCAAGAGGGGGGATGAATGTGACGATGTGGGCTCGTGGATATCTTTAACAAGTTCAGGGTTCTGGGCCGGATCCATTCTGTGAGGGATTCTCATGTGGGTTTTCTACACCTTTGGAGACTCTTGATCCAAGGCGTGGTGAAGTTGTACGTTATAAGACACCATTCTATCCAGAGAGCCAAATACCCCTTAAGTAAGGAATAGAGCTTAGCTCATAATATGAAGCTCCTTTCAATTAAGGGGTATTGGGCTCTTTGGGAAAGTCATACCAAAAACCTTTTATCCTCCATGACGCTCGAGAAGCTTTATAAAGCTCAACAAGCTCGGGAAAACCCTCACGCAGATTCAGATGCCCAGCTGCCCACTCACAATCCGAAGCCGTAAACCCGAATCCTTACATCCCAAAACCTAAACCCTAAGCCTAAAGCCCAAACCGCAAACCCCAAAGTCCTAAACCCTAAACCAAAGCCCTGAACCGTAAGCCCCTCAGCCCCAAACCCTCTACTCCCGGCTGCCCCCTTAGGCCGACGACCTGGGTGCAGCAAGTGCCGCCCTGGCCTCCCTGGGTGCGGATAGCGATGCCAAGCCCTCAGAGCTGGGATAGAGGGTTGGCGGGTTAATATAGGGCGCCTAAATACTTAGCCATACTATTTTGGGGGGGTTCCTTTATATAATTGTAGTAGAATAGACTCCCCCAAACCCTATTCTAGTTAGTAAGGCCNNGGTTTAGGGTTTAGGATTAGGGATTCAGGAAGGATTTACAGTGTTGGGTTTAGGCCTTGCAGGTGTTGGAGTCTAGGTTTAGGGTTTGGGGCGTAGGCGTGTGTATGTCTGTTATGCCCTCCGGTTTCGGAGAGTTTCCTAAGGTCCAAGGTGCTCACCCAACAATCCCTGAGCCTGGGGAAAGGGTTGAGAAAAGGGTTCTTCAAGTCAAGTTTCTATACAGTTCATAACGGTGGTATGAGGGTTTTACATTCATGAGGGGAGCGTTTCTTGATGCTAGGGGTCGGTGACTTATGGCTCCCTACATTAGGGTCCTCCTAATTAGCATATATATCTATATCTATATCTAT